TACACTATTACTTACTTTGCATGTCTTTGTATTAGTTACTTTGTATTCTAACTCATTTATTTGTCTTATTTGGCAGGAATATGGCCGATTCTAGTAGGTCCGCGAAGAAGGGGAGACGTGCAACACGACTTAGTCGAGTTGACACTAAGTCGAAATGTCGATGAGAGGTTACCGATTGAGTTTGATGACTCGACCGGAAATGCTATTGGGCCTCACGCAACAAAGTTTAGAAGTTATGTTGCACTTCGGGCCGCAAGCAAAGTGAGCATAATAAAGAAGGATTGGGATGATGTGGAGATGCGTGTGAAGGAACAAATTTGGCAAAGCATCTTGGTACGAATTTTTTTCTATTAAATTTACTTGTATTGTTAATTCTTGTAGGATTCACTCGACCTTGTATTATTTTTTGTAGCTCACTTATAATGTTCCGAATACCGAAGGGCTAAGGAGGAAGTGGATATCATTCGCCGGTGAGCGTTGGAGGGCCTTCAAGACCCAATTGACTTCCACCTACGTGTTTGGAAGCAAGAAAGGAGTGTCTCCTTGTGAGCAATATTCCTTTCTAGACACTGAGACATGGGATAAGTTTGTTGAGAGCCGTATGGATCCTTCTTTTAAGGTTCGTGTGCTTTAACTTGCCTGCTTTTAACTTGCCTGCTTTTAACAGCACCTTACCCTGCTTTTAACTCGCACAAAACGCATAGAACTAAATGGATAATACTATTTTAGTATGCTACATGTTTTATCAGCAATTGTCACAAAATGCATTGGCCTTTTATATATGTAATTCTCTGCACCTTACCTGCAGTTAAATCAACCTCGGATTTAATTAAACATTGCTATGTGTTTAGTTGGTATGAATTCACTGATGAAATACCAGCCGTTTTTTTCAGTATATAGGTAGAAGGACAAAAGGCAAAAACAATTCAAGAAATACCAGCAGTTTTTTAACTGACCGTTTCTTTGAATGTATCTTTATTAGGAGAAACGACAAAAGGCAAAAACAATTCAACAAAAAAATGTATATCCTCACAGGCTATCCCGAGGGGGTTACTAGCTACTTGAGAGGAAGCTGATAGAAGAGAAGCGTAAAGCTTCTCAAGAAGCCTCTCAAAGTGACCCCTCAGGTGTGACTTCACCTCCATCACCTCCTTCTCGTCATGAGAAGTGGAAGAAGGCACGACAGAGCAAGAAAGGTGACTATACTACGGATGAGAGTCGTGTTGTGGGACAGTAAAATTGTAAGTAGTTATTTAAAAAATTGTTCAAAATGAGATAGAATTATATATTGTGTCTTCTCTAATCAATTACATTTTCTTTGTAGGATGAATTATTAGAGCAAAGTTCACAAGGGACCTTTACCCCTAGTGGACGACAAGATATATTATCCACTCGCTATTGGACGACCGAGCATCCAGGTCGTGTGCGGGCAACTGGATGGGGGATTGACATCCGACAATATTTTGGCACTCCTAAACCTTCCACAAAAAGTGTGGTCACTAGAGATGAGTTGCAGTGCCATCGAGGATCAAATTAGGGAAGAGCTTCGGGCGAGCTAAGGCGGGAACTTGTCTCCTTAGGCTTATCTCGGGGAACACAGGAGGGGTCAACAATGTGTTCCCGTAGCTTCTCGCCCGAGGAACGTGTTAGCACCAAAGGGAGTTGTGCACGAGTTGACGTTCTTGATGATGAGTCAACTTCACTTGGTGAAGACACTCCTAGGCCTCTATGCAAGTTCTTCACAAAGGAAGGCTTACTAGTGGCATATGGTACTGTGCATACATTGGGGCCACTTATACACTGGGTAGAAATGACTGATTCCTTTCTTCGTGTTGCGGTTGAACGGGTGGAAGTTTCTGAAGCTCCTGTTCCTGTTCCATCCGACGAGGTTAGAACAGTGGGGAGGCTCCCGGACATTTCATTCAAGTGGCCTAGAGCACTTATCCAATTTCCTACCGATCGGTATTATATGTTTTCTTTAATAATTTGATACATGTTTATAATTTTATTATTTTATCATAAATTTTAATTTAATTCCTTGATGTGTATAGGACATTTGTGCCCAGCAGAAAGGAAAGGAGAAGGGGAAGGAGAAAGAGAAAGAGAAAGTTCAAGAGGAACTGGACTTAGATCCGATACAAAGGTTATGCCTCTTAGCTTATAGGCTAGGAAAGCATATACCTTTACAGCATCCGTATGGACCCTCATGTGATTGGGAATCCGCAGCCCATCACGTTGTACTTGAGTCGAAGGACATTATGGATGTTGTTTTGAGTCAAGACATGATTTGCGTCACAATTCTCCAAGTCTCGGTTAATGTAAGTCTTATGTTTTTATTTAAGTCAATTGGTTGTATGCCCTATTAGACACCAACTTGTCTAAAATGCAATTAACATGATATTTTCAATTTCTAGTTACCTCAACAAAGTCATTGCGGAAAAGGGAGTAGAAGATGTCTATGGATTCATTGATCTTGTCCACATTCGGAGTTTGGGGAACAAACCAAATACTATTCAAGCATACATTCAAAAGAGATTTTGTGAAGGATCAAAGGAAGTTTATCTCGCACCATATCATTATGGGTAAGTTTTTTTAAATTACTTACTTTCAAACTTTGAATCTCTTAAGAATTGCTAATTGAGCGACATTTTTTGTAGGTCTCACTCGGCAACTGTTTATCCTTTGTCCTAAACGTAATGAGACTATTTTTTTATGCTCTTTATGGAATAAACCCAAAAAGGAAATTAAACAGATTATTGATGTGTAAGTATACTAACACCCTTATATATGAATCTGTCTTTGTGACTAATTAAATACTCTAGGTCTGGTTCATGACAGATTAAATAACCGTAAAGATCTGTGCTTCACTCCTTTGAGCTAAATAGTATCCAGATTTTACTTTTTATATTCATAAGTAAGTACTTCATAATAATTGTGCTTCATTCCCAAATCCCGATCCAGACAACATTCAATTGTTTAAGATAAGTATACTAACACCCTTGTATAATATTTCATTCATTTCATTTTAAGTTCCACATGTCTTAATATGAAGTATTTTCCATTTAATCTTTTATAGGTGTATAGAAGCATACTCAGTCATGGAGGGTAAGCCTAAAAAGAAACCCACATGGATACTTCCACGTGTAAGGACATTATCTTTCAAATTCTTAACTTTAATTTACTCATTTTCTGTATTTAATGTTTTTTTTTCTTCTAGTGTAATAAGCAAAAAGGAAGTTGGGAGTGCGGATATTATGTGATGAGACATATGTTAACAATCATCACAACGAAATATCACAGATTCATGGAATTTGGTATGTGTTATGACTATATCTATGTCATTGACATATATTTGCCTACTTCGCTTATCCGAAATGTTTTTTTTTTGTTTGTAGATATTCGATGATGGTCATCCAATAAGTGAAGCGAGAGATTGATGACATTAGACGAATTTGGGCAGATTTTGTTATTAAGAACTATAGTTGTGATTGAATTTAATTGTGAAACATTAGGAGTGCTAGTTTCTTTGTATATATAAACTTAGAATACAATACATGTTTATTGTTTTTGTTGATACAATACAATGTAGATATATAATATACATTATGTTTACTTGTGTGTTAATGCATGTCCTCTATATATAGATTAACATTCCGAGTAGTCGTAAATATTTAAAATGTTGTACAGTGTTCGAAAAATCAAAAACTAAAATTCGTATTTAAAAAAATATGACTTTCCACATCGGTTATGGCCATAACCGATGTAGAAAGTGATTTTTAATACTTTCCACATCGGTTCTAGGCCATAACCGATGTAGAAAGTTCGATTTTGCACATCGGTTATATCTATAACCGATGTGGAAAGTCAGACTTTCTACATCGGTTATGGCTTAGAACCGATGTGAAAGTCAGACTTCTACATCGGTTCTTAACCGATGTTAAAACTCACCAACTTTCTACATCGGTTGTATCTACATCGGCTCTAGAAGCCGATGTAGAAAGCTGCTAAAAACCGATGTTAAATGTGTTTTACGTACTAGTGATTATTAAATTAAAATAATATATATATTGAATTATTGACAAACAAATAATAATCTTATTATTAAATTTATTAAAAAAATTATTTTAAAAAATAAATTATTTTTTTAAATTATAGCGGTCACCACAATCCAGCCCTCTGGCAGGGTGAACGAGGTCTACAACCCATGATGACTATATCGGGACGAGTCTGCCGTTCAGCCTCATTTGGCTGGCCAAAGGTGGGACGGCAAAATGGGCCAGCTGTCTCGTTTTGCCATGTCTCCTAGCATCATCATTCACCCTTTTATTACTTTAAATATATATATATATATATATATATATATATATATATATATATATATATATATATATTTCATTATGGGTGTACCTAGATAGAGTCCATTAAAAAGAAAACGTGAATTTTTTATTATTTTATGTGTATTAGGTAGAGTCGTTGTCTTGATTTCGTTTACTATAGTTAATATATTGGGTTTTGTTTTGTTGAGTTCAATAAGTATTAATTTTTTTAAGACTTGGGCGACAAGTGCGTGACAGATATTGTTAAGTTCAATAAGTATTAATTTTTTTAAGACTTTGGGCGACAAGTGCGTGACAGATATTTAATTTGCCATTGCCAGATAAGATTTATGTGGTGTACGTCTTTCTTTTAATTAAGTATGAGAAGTGTTCTTATCTTCTTGTTTGTAGGTTTTTTCTTCGTCTCTTTTACACCACGGGGCGGCACTACTAACTAAATATGAAGATGACATTCGAGAATGCCATTGCTAGCGTCTAATAACTTCTTAAACTTTTTAATATTCTTTTTTTTTATCACACTTTATTTTTTTTTAACAAATCTCTGTTTTCTATTTCCTAACTAACATGTTTCGTGACCTTTAATTATGAGGCATTTTTTCCTATGATGACAGCCCAAGAGTTTACACGCCATTCAAAGACGAACTGCAAATAACTCAAACAGCCATGGATGCTCCAAGTGCTGCTCCTTTGCACATAGCAATATTTCCATGGTTTGCTATGGGACACCTCTCCCCAAATCTTCACCTCTCCAACAAGTTAGCAGAGAGAGGCCATAAAATCTCCTTTATAGTCCCCCAAAGAACACAAACCAAACTACAACACCTCAATCTTCACCCTCATCTCATCACCTTTGTTCCAATCAAAGTTCCTCATGTTGATGGCCTTCCTCACCATGCTGAGACCACTTCCGATGTCCCCTTCTCTTTGTTCCCTCTTATTGCCACCGCTATGGATCGCACACAGAAGGACATCGAACTTCTCGTAAAGGATCTGAAGCCACAAATTGTTTTATTCGATTTCCAACATTGGCTACCCAATTTGACTCGGAGCCTAGGCATCAAGAGTGTCATGTACATCATAGTGTATCCATTATCATTAGCATACCTTGGAATCGGACCAAGACAAGACCAAGGAAGAGATTTAACGGAACGTGATCTAATGGAACCACCTAAAGGGTTCCCTGAGTCATGCTTAAAGTTTCAGTCACATGAACTTCGGTTTCTCGTTGGCGTAAGGAAACTCGAGTTTGGAAGTGGAATTTTTCTGTACGATCGGTTACACTATAGTCTTAGCTCAGCCGATGCAATTGGATTCAAGGGTTGCAGAGAGATTGATGGGCTATATGCGGATTATCTTGAAACTGTGTATGGGAAGCCAGTTTTACTGTCGGGGCCACTTTTACCTGAGCCACCAAACACCACTTTAGAGGAAAAATGGCTTGCATGGCTTGGGGGATTCAACCCTGGTTCTGTTATTTTCTGTGCTTATGGAACCGAAAGCCCGTTACCAGAAAATCAGTTTCAAGAGTTGTTGCTTGGTCTTGAATTAACAGGTTTGCCATTTCTTGCAGCACTTAAGCCCCCTGATGGATTTGAGTCGGTTGAAGAAGCTCTGCCAGAAGGGTTTGGAGAAAGGGTTAAAGGAAGAGGGATTGTGTATGGAGGTTGGGTTCAGCAACAATTGATTCTGGGACACCCTTCTGTTGGATGCTTCATAACACACTGTGGAGCGGCTTCTGTGACAGAAGCGCTTGTTAATAAGTGTGAGTTGGTGCTGCTGCCACGGCTTGGTAGTGATCATATCATCAATGCAAGGATGATGAGTATGAACTTAAAGGTTGGAGTGGAAGTGGAGAAAGGTGAAGAAGACGGTCTGTTTACAAAAGAAAGTGTATGCAAAGCTGTGAAAACTGTGATGGATGATGGGAATGAGACTGGAAGAGAAGTGAGAGAAAATCACGCCAGACTCAGAAATTTATTACTACGTGATAATTTAGAGTCGTCATGTGTTGATAGTTTTTGTCGACAACTTCAAGATTTGTTATAATTTCCAAGCTTCGACCATTACCTATACATGAAGAAGATTATGATATGGCGTTGTTTTAACTTAATCTATTCTGAAACCAGTTTGGGGGAAGTCAACATGTGGAGACAGCTCTTTTTATTTCATTAATGGATTTAAGTGATGGTTAGTTTTCACTGGGTAGTTACTGTGGGGTTCATTATACAGCAAAAGTGTTCTGTTTGATTTCTACAATGTTTTGTATTCTGATCAATTAGTTCAATTTCACCTCAATAGGTGTGGCAAATTTTGCCAGATGAATCAAAGTTCTAAGATCAACTAGATTATCATTATTTGGTATTTTTTAGACTAAATACTTTTTAATTTAGAAAACTATTATCACTTATTTCTTCCCTACATACATTAATTACTCAATAATTAATATAAGGTGAACTTTTATAAGTTATCTTTCGCATATAATTTGATTTTTAATATAAGTTATAATATTTAAAGTAAAATACGATTTTTAATATAAGTTAACATTTAAACTAAAGTCCGAAGAAAATAAATGTTGAAGGAAATTATGAAGATAAATTATAAAAAAAGTTAATCTAATTCATTATTAAAGATAAAATAAAAATTAATAAAGAAATTTATTGAAAGTGGTGATTCAAATTGGCAATAATTTATCACCATTAATTATACTTATTTCATTTTATTTATATTTTAATATGTGTAATTGCTAAGTGAATAAAATAAAATACAAAATAAGATTTTCTTTTCTATAATTGTTTTTCTTCTTTCTTGAGCAGCTATCATGTAACATTTGTAATTGTCCATGTCACATGATGAGCTATAATTGTTTCTCTATGCATCTCTATTGTATAACTTTCTTCTCTATCTTTTGTCTTCTTTAATTACATAAATATCTCTTTATCCTTTGTCTTTATCGATTTCTCTAAGTCCATATATTGATAAGTCCCTTTCGATATCTCCGTAGTTCTTTTTTTATTCCTCTAAGTCTTCGATTTATATTATGTAAACATTATCTATTTCTGTCAATGTGTTTTAGATTTCTCATTCAATTATGATAACCCTTCCATTATTTGATCTTCAAGGCATCATCTTGCTTTTGTCTTGACTGCTCTTTTGATTACAATGAGGTCTTAATGATCTTATTCTTCAATTCGTACATTTTGATCACTTGTTCTCTTCGATATCGATTTCTTACATATCTCTCGATTAATTCCTCGATTACTTACATTCTCGATTTTCGATCACTCTTGATTCTCACCCGTTCAATCTCAATTTTTACCATTCGATTCCTACTGTCTCGATACCCTTTCGATATATTTACTGTCTTGACCTTAACTTTTATTATCAATCTCAATTTTTATCATTTTTAACTTCAATATGTGTTCCAATTCTTTCTTTCCATATATTTATAAATTTAATAATAACAAATGACTTTTATATTTTGGTTCGAAAATATCCAATAAATTTTATTTTTTAAATATCTTGTGTATTTTTTTAATATATCAAAATGGTAAATTTAAAGGAATAAATAACGTAAATACGTTAAGAAATCTCAAAAGCTACTTTGAATAAGTTTGGTTTTCAAACACTATCCTAAACTTAACTTGGAATTGTTAGGTATCAGACAAAAAAAATAAGCATACACAACTAAAATAAAAAGATGAAAAAAACACCGACAATAGACAAAGAGTAATTCCACTAATGAAAGAAATTACAATCATTCTCTTTCTACCTCCTAGAAGGAAACAATAACACTCTCTTCTAAAAATAAATGAAAAAAAAAACTCTAAGCGAACCTAAAAGAGAAACTGTTTTTCTCTCTTAATTTATCTCTCAAGTAGTAAAGCAGCAAGAGAAAGAAAAAGAAATGATTTTTGTGTGTTTTACAAGATAAACACTGTGCTCCTTTTATAGCCAAAATAAGATTTCCCTGATACGAGACTTTTCTTCTCACAATCTCCCACTTGAAAATTTTGATTAAATTAATCAAATCTTCACACCATGCTTACTTTATTCTTGTTATCCATATTGCTTATTTTTTTTTGCTAGTACATAGTAAGATCGACTTCATACAAATTTGTCAACACTAACCGGTTTTGTTATAACATCTGCTAGGTTCTCATATGTGTGAATCTTTTGCATATTCACACTTACTTCTTCCACTACTTCCCGAACAAAATGATATTTTATTTTTATGTGTTTTGTCCTGGAATGAAATACTGGATTCCTTCCAATGTTGATTGTGCCCGAGTTCCTCCATTATCTTCTTAATCCAAATAGTTTCCTTACATGCCTGGGTGGCTGTCATGTACTCAGCTTCTATGGTAGATAGAGCTACAACATCCTGTAACTTGGATAATCAACTTACTGCCCCTCCTGTAACTGTAAACACATAACCAATAGTAGATATCTTTTTATCCAGATCATTTGCAAAATCTGAATCAACATAATCTTTGACAACTAGTTCTGATCCTCCATGACATAATGCAACACCTGAGGTTCCTTTGATGTATCTAAGGATCCTCTTTATAGCACTCCAATGCTCTCCACCAAGATTTCTCATGAATCTACTAACTAATACTGCTTGTGCAATGTCTGGTCTTGTACAAATCATGACATACATAAGACTTCCCACTACTGATGCATACGGTACTCGAGACATTTCCATCCTCTCCGCTTCATTGCAGGGACTCATACTTGAGGATAATTTACAATTGATAAGAAGTGGGGTAGAAATTAGCTTACAATCTTGCATGTTGAAGCACTACAAGATTTTCAGTAAGTAATTCTTTTGAGAAAGGCAAACCTTCCTATCTTTTCTGTCTCTGTGAATTTGCATCCCTAAAATCTTGTTTGTTGGTCCCAAGTCTTTCATGTCAAACTCCATAACCTATTGTGCCTTTAACTCTTAGATTCGATCTATGTTGGGGCTTACTACCAACATGTCATCCACATACAATAATAAGATAACAAAATCATTATCACCAAACTTATTGTAATATGTACAATGGTCTGAGCTCAGTTTATTGTAACCAAGGAAAATAATGAAAGAATCAAATCTCTTATACCAACATTTGGGCGCTTGCTTTAGACCGTATAGAGATTTGGTCAACCTGCAAACCAAGTTTTCTTGTTCTTTAAAGCCTTTTGGTTGGAGCATATAAATTTCCTCTTCAAGATCTCCATGAAGAAAAACAGTTTTTACATCTAATTGTTCAAGATGTAAATCAAATGCAACACACATAGCCAGGACAACTCTGATGGACGTCAATCTGACAACCGACGAGAATATCTCATTGAAATCAATACTTTTTTCATCGTCGTTCATCCGTGTGTTCCATGGTTCTTTCCGCAATTGAATCAATACTCCTTCCTCAAAATTGCATTTATCTTCAATTTCCACAATGAGAAATTACTCTTATTGAACTTCTCTATCTCATATTTTGTTGTTATTGTTCTAAACCGACTTATGCAATTCTCACTATGAATAATATTGCCTACTGGAACAACAACGGTAGACCATGAACCAGTACACCAGGTAAGCTTCTAGGAAAGAGAGGTGGGTCACCAATGGACACGTTTCCTTGCCAAAACTTTTCCTAGACATGCATTATCACACTACCAAATAATATTCAGTAACAAGAATAACTCTTCTCTGATGTGGAAGATTAGATTAACCGCAACCACAGAGCATACAAAGAATTTTCTTCAATACTATTCTAATGACTATGCAGCAGAAGACAAATATCACAACCTAGTGGCTCTGATAGACAAAAGCATAAGCACACAACTAAAATAAAAAGATGAGAAAAAACACCGACAATAGACAAAAGATAAATTCCACTAATAAAAGAAATTACAATCATTCTCTTTCTACCTTCAAGGAGAAAACAATAACACCCTCTCTTGAAAATTAGGCATGGCAACGGGGCGGGGCGGGGGCGGGTTTTGCCTCCCCCGTCCCCGCCCCCGACTTTTTTAATCATCCCCGTCCCCGCCCCCGATCCCCGCCGGGGTTAGGAATTAAGTCCCCATCCCCGTCCCCGCTGGGTTTCGGGTTCCCGCCCCGCCCAGTCCCCAATTTATATTATTTTTAAAAAGATAATTATATTTATAATAAATTAATTTTACTATGTATTTTTATATATAAATAAATATTTATAATTTATAGTTATTATTAATTAAATATACATTTTAATTTATTATATTTATATTAAAATATATATGTAAAAGAAATATTTAATTATTTTTTATTTATATATATATATATAATATTTATAACATTATTATTATTATTATAACATCTGTATTCAAATATTTGAATATTTATAACATTATTATTATAATATTGTATTCAAATATTTAATTATACATATAAGTTAATTCATTTTTAAGTTGTCAATATATAGTTTATAAGAAAATATTTAATAAGTTAATTCTTATTTAATTAGTTTGAAGTAATAAAAGTTTAAATTATTAATTTCTTTTAATCCTTTAAAATGCAATTATTTTATTAAGATAAAATTTGATATATGATAAATAAGCATAATAAGATAAAAAAATATGGCATAATAAATATAAATTATAAATAAACTAATATTAGTTACTACTAAGATTGATGTAAAATATTTAAAAAAAGATAAAGAAAAAAGATTAACTTTTTGTTCATCAAATTGGTTGAAAAGATTGAAAAAAAAAAACAAATTGATGGGAGAGACTAAGAAAATGTGAAAAACTGAAAGATAAGGGAGAGAATAATATAATAAATTAATTGATATAAAAGATTGAGAAAAATAAAAAAAATAAAAAAGTGGATAGAAGAAAAATAAAAATTGGTGAAATATAAAAAAATAACCTTATATGTAATAGAAAAAGAAAATGAAATACTTTTAAAATATTAATATTTTAAAATTTAAATTTAAATATAAAGTCTGGGCGGGACGGGCTGGTCGGGGTGGGGATTGCATTACCCATCCCGCCCCGCCTCGACTTTTAAAGCGGGAAAACCC